CGAAAGGAAACTTTATATTTTTGGCACAGACCTGTAACGAATATCCAACAACCCCTCGTCCGAAACCAACTACTTTTACTTCGCAACGTTGACGAAAATCAAGACAAGCCTTTGGTTACATTAAAAATAACGATAACGAATAAAGTAACATGCACTCCATACCATAATACTACCGGCGCAATCATGTTATTTCAAGACACTGTATCGACTTATGAGGTTGTGTTCGCCAGAGATAAATTCAAGATTAGAGTCAATATGATTATCGTCCCAGTTGTAAATCCAACATCCCGTAACACAATGAAATCACTATAAATTAACCAACAACATTGTCACTACCTGGCATGCGAGCACTGCGGGACCGTACGAACTGACACACGTGCGGTTACGTCCGACACTTTGCTAAGGCCGCTGGAGCCCTACTACGGTCTGCATCACGTGCTGGCCGTAGTTCCCTGCTTCGCCGCTGCGTGATGCTACTGCCGCTTGCCCTACTAGACAACCTGCTTGACACACAGCCGCGCTGACTGTCATGCCAGATGTTAACGTTGCGTCAAATGAGATCATCACGTGAGTCGAAGCAGGTTCCATCCCGGAATTTGCCTCGGAGCATTGAGAAAAATCTGTAAACATAGCCGGGATTCGAACCAGGCAACTCCTCGCAAGGGTCAGAAGTGATTCTGTTACTGCATGACACAATGTCGGCATAATTATAATTTTTAAAATATATAGATTTATTAATAATAATATTAAAATAACTTTGTATTAAGGTGCAATTGTCGCATTTCCTCACGATTTAATTTCTATCTAGATCAGGATTCGACACTGGTACCGGAGCCTCTTTTCCAGGGGGTAAAGTGGCTGGAGCGTGAAGCTGACCACTCACCAACGCTGTAAACTGTTCTCTACCTCCAGTTCCGAGTCCATATCACTACCACTATCCGTTCCATTCTGCGTCTATAATCATCTTAACACACATAATTCGACGATAATAACTTCAGCAGTTGATACAGAGCCTTTATGTCCAAAACTAAATGCGCAACGATTTAGAGTTGGCCTTTCCACTTTCTGTCAATCTGCATTAGGAAGTAATAAATGTAACTCCCGTCTTCAGGGTTTAACCACTACAATGACGTCACTCTCAAAGCAACAGTCATGGTACCCTAGCAACCAGACCAAAGATGGAGAAACAGAGAACGATGGACGAAATAATTTTGCGTACATGGAAAGGAATACATTCGTCATATTTCGCTGTTCGCAGACACGATGCAGGAAGCAACAGTGGACACTTCGCATGTGCCAGACGGCTGGAAAATGAGAGCACTGCCCACCGCCTGCAAATGTGGGCCATTTCTGCTTCTCCTCCGGTGCCTCGCCATTCATTACGTCTCAGTCACAGCCACCTAAACCACTGTGTAATTGTTACTGTTATTGACGCCTTCGTAAAGGTAGAAAGTGTCACTGTGCACAAGTTCAACGCCAGGAAGACGTGGAGGTAGGCTCCACGCCCTATAGATCAGCACCACCCTCCGGCAGCGTCTCCTTAAACCGGACTGAACGGAATCATCCCGGTTGGCTCACCATTAATAACCAAGCCATCAAGGCGTATGAATGAGTGGAGGTAAACCACATATTTTTAACGTCGACATTTGATGGAGGTAAGTGGTCGGCTTTAAGCCCCGATCGCTTTGTCCCCGGTATTCATTGGGTAGGAAGCTGGGTGAACCAGGAGCCGGTTTGGGAGCGGAGAATCAAAACCTGGCCGTCCACCTCGTACCCAGTTATCTGAGCTATCAGGTCTCCAGATCGTACCTCTACAGGAGCAACGCCAACAAACATCCACAAGCTGACCGGGATAGAAAGGCGTGGTCGAATGCTTACTCCTTCTTCGTATTCGGGAGGTCCCACGTTCAAGTCTAGGCCCAGTTACCGGCTAACCTGACTGGGTTCTTCGTGTTTTTCCTCAGTCCCTCCATGCAAATGCCGGGATAGTATCTTAAAATCAGGCCACAACCGCTTTCATTCACATCCTTTCCAATTCATTATCCACGATCATCCTTTTATTCGATGCATATAGCCTGGTGTAGTGAAAAAGCGTTGTTAAAAAACTGTAAATAAAATACAAATTGGGCGGTACAGTGAAACATTGTTATGTAACTTATATCATTTATACACACACTTTTCAAGCACAGTAATTTGAACACTATGAAAGCAAACGTAAGTAGCTATTGCGATAATGAAGTATCCGCGTCTGCAATGACATCTAGACAACAGGGAAAAGTGAAAGTACTCAAGAATCACCATCCTGATGACGCAACCCACAGAACACGAGCGTGCAGTCACTGATATTAAGCCGATAACTCTAACGAACTGTGAGTTGGTAACGACCCGAGCAGACGTAAGGGGCAATAGATGTATAGCACCACGCATTCCTGACCTCGAAACTAGATGAGAGTGGGTAGCTTCATGCCCCGGCCCTTAAATACTGGATACTGGGAACGACCCGCTCTTCAAGTGCCTCAGCACTGCGGGTCCCAACTTTTCGTTGGCTTGATCTATAGACATTCGGTAGGACTCCTTGGACGAGGGATCGGCCCGTTGCAAGGCCTCTACCTGTACACAACACAGAAAAACGCGGAGAGACATCCATGGCTTGAGTGGGATTCGAACCCACGGTCCCAGCGACCGTGCGGCCACTGCGGACCCCCGGCCCTTAAATACCTAAACTAATTAAAAGAAGCAGACGATAAGGCAAATCATTTTGTGTAAAAAGGCTGCAATATTTTAACTACAAAACTTACATCCGGATGCGTCGGGTTATCGCGACACACTGAGGCAACCCACCTCCGAAACTCACTCTTGCTTGGGATAAATACGAACCACTTGATAAAACAAATTAGGCATCCAGTTCGAATATCGTCCGCGGTAACCACCGGCTGTTCTGACCGTCAGTTTCTATGGTTTTCCTCAGTACCTCCTGGCCTTAAAACAGATAAAATCCTTATCTGTTCGCCATGAAACAGCATTGCTACATAACCTAATAACCACATGTAACAGCCAGTGCTGTGGCAAAGCGAGGGAATTTCAAATAAACAAGGCATACAAACTGGAATAAGTTAAAGACCGCGATGAATTTAATGCTTTATTGAAATACTGTCTGCTGTCAGCCAATGAAAGCAAAGGGCAGTGGGCTGGAGAGAAGGTCACTTATTAACAAGTGAAAGGCAGAGCGGGGAGAGAAATCACGTTACAAACAGGTTGCAGGTGAAGGGTTTTCAAATGTTATCACCACTCGTTTGATTGCAACTCAAGACGCCTTAGAGACAGGGCGATTCTAAGGCCAGCAGTTTGCTGTAAAGAAGGCATTGCAATCCTCAACATTGCTGTCAGACAATGAATTAGTTTCGGAAAACAACCGGTTCATTTTTATGACATTTAAGGACACGGTTTCAGCGGCTCATGTTACATAGCAGCGAGTGAGATGGGAAGATGATCATGAATACTGAAGTAGATAAGGTTTTGGAAGCACGCGGTCGTGACATTTAATTGCTATGCTATTCCATGTAGCGACTGAGAAAACCCACGAAAATGTCAGTAATAATACTTTGTAACACACTCTAGAGTACGTTGAGTATCAGTTTATTTAACGACGTTGTTTTAATCGTAAAATTAAGTTCACGAAGAAATTTAAAGCATAAAGTGAAGCTTTCGGGGCGACTGAAGTTGATGAAAGACTCTCGCGAGAGCTCGCAACAAAGAATCGGATTTGTTACCCAGCAGCCCTGAGGATGAGAGCAGAGATTGTTCTCGAAACGTTGGCTAAAGATATGGTTTGTTCATCACTCAGCCACCTGAAGCGGGTTGTAACCCGAGAGTCTTTCATAAAATTTAAAGCGGATTACATTTGTAGAATTCTTGCTACCATGCAGTTCAGTATCACTCATCTTTCGGTCTCACAACTAAAAATGTAAAGATTAAAATATACATAACTATAATTCTACCTGTTGTAAAGTATGGTCTCTCATCACAAAGAAAAAAAGAACATAGACTAAGCGAAACTACATTTCGTTGCTGGATTATCGACTTCGATTATACACATAAGATATTAATAAATAACGATACAGAATCTGTACGATTGGGACTCTGAAAGTCTGTGAAATAAGAAAGAAGGTTTCGTAAGTTCTGTCCGGAGCTCTTTATTATTATAAAGACCCAGGAATTGTTCCACAAATTAATTAATTAATTAATTTTTATCCATAAGCAAAGGAAAAAATATCAGATTCTTCCCATTTCTTGTAAACGACAGTGCAAAGTCGGCAAATGTTTCTCTGACCATTCTGCCACCTCTGTGTTTCTGTGTTCTTCCTATCAGTGTTTTCAGTGTTTCTGTGTTGAGAACTAACGATGTGTTCCGCCAACCCTTCTCCCACTCGCTACTTCTAAATTACTGCAGGAGACGAACCAACAAATTCCTGTCCGTACCTGTTGTGAATTATAATAAGAGGAGAGAGAGAACTTGCTTTATTGAAAGCTGATATTAAAAGCGTCCATCCACTCTTTATCTAAAGACTACAAAGGACTCAGACCCTTCCGAACGCTATACTCCGCAGAAACCTTCTTGTTTCTCTTGCTAGTTTCAATAACAAAAAGCAAAGATGCTGAACGTAAGTACAGGATACAGAAGTTGCGATGACAGAACACACCAATCAGCTCTTACAATGCAAATAAGATATTTTTTTAAATGAATTAATGTGATACGCTTCTGCTAACTACTAATTCCATGAAACAGCGCCATTCCTGAAAAGCTAACTGTCGCTCAGCAAGTCAAAAAATTGTTTGTCTTCTATGGAAACTGGTCACCTGAAGACGGAAGTGGAACCAAATACCGAAACGTTCTGGTTTTAATCAAAAACAATTCTGACGATGGATAA